GGGCTAAAAGTCAGTTGGGTAGGAGTTTTTAGAGGTACTGAGACGAGCCGTACAGCGTGACAACCATGTGAAAGCTCACATAGTGTTTTTTAGGTCTATCCAAATGAATCAACACTGGTTGATGCGTGGCTCAAGGTTTCACACGAAAGACGAAGCAGCGCTTCAGGTTTGCAAACCAGGATACTAATTTTACTACACTTTTCTGAAAAAAATTCACATTTACCTAAATTTTAATAAAAAATCTGTTTTGCAGACTCAAATTGTGATGAACTTAGTGATGCTGGAAATACCGATGGCGAAAGTTTTTCGAGTATTGACGATCTTCTATTCGATGTGCCTGATCAGACCGATATTACTTTCGGTAAACTACATTTCCTCCAGCTAATTTACATTTTCATACGCATTTTCATAAAAGATTGCTGTAAGTAATAGGCACTGTGACTAAATTATACCCGTAGGCGTGTGCCAATGCAAAACCTAGGTAGCAACAAGCATCAGAGCTTTTGGTGTGAATATGCACTTTTGCGCTACACTTTAACAATATGAATAGTTATTGCTTAATAATGTGTGCACTATGTTGCTAACATTTAATCTTCCCATGCATGCAACGAAAAGAGACGTAAAGAGGAACAGTGGTGTTGCACCATGAGGCCGCGTGACTTCTTAACCCATAGCATACATGATTACAATAGATTTTGCACGCAAAGAAATGAATTTCCAGTGGCCGGTTGTTCATTAAAAATGTGAATTGGATAATAAACAGAATATCGAGAGGGAGAATCACGTAATCCGAGCAAAATGCACGCGTTTTTGAGGTAGTGGTTAGGACTGAGCATTTCTTATGTCTGGGTGTACAGAGGTGCGATATAGGCACCGGACAAGCTGAAATTTTACAAGATATTCTATACTCATTTAGGCTTCAATTTAATTTAGGCCACAAATGAATATAGAATATCTTGTAAAATTTCAGCTTGCAGCTTGTCCGGTGCCGAAATCGCACTTCGCTACAAATATCTTTGACATGCTCTAAAGCATGACGCAAGTGCAAATCGATACACTGATTAGGTGTATAAGTCTCCAAGTAGACGACAAATTTTCTTGCACAATTTGAGCTATCCCTTTCCTGCTAATTTTCAAGTTGGCGCGGCGCCGATTGCAAAACTTAGATCTCAATTCATTAACTTGTTACCAGGTCCAAATTCGAGCTAATTTTAAAATTTGGAACGGAGAGAGCTAGAAATTCTAATCTTTATGCGTTTTTGCTGTGTAGCGCTATAGCAGCGCTGCAGCTGCTACAGCCAGCAAAAACGCATATTGTCGAGAGGCTGTCTGTGTTTGTGTGTTCATAAGCGAGTGCATTTTGTCACCCACTTTCATCTCAGCAAACAGGAAAGCTGGGAGGCTGAAACCTTGGGTATATGTTCCTACCTCATGTGTCATCCTTTCGTTTCAAGCTGTCCCCCAACGCGCCTGGACC